GGCCAGGCTCAAGCCGGGCTTTTTTGACAAATCCCGAGCCCGATCTGAAACACAGTTGGGCTTACTGTATTAAGCCCGTGGGCCTAATTACATGACCAAGCCCGACTGGAATGTGAGCCGGGCCGGGCCATCAGGCTACCCGGCCCATGAACAGGTCTAGTGTGGAAACCAAATCCGATTTGGATTGATGCAACTTTTCTAGACCCATGCGTCTAACATAATAATATGGCATATACACCGCCAGTTGTAAACTGGCATGAGTTAACCAACCTGTCTATTTGTCTAACATCCTCCAATCCAGATTTTCTACTCGCAAAATTGGTCTCCACACCGATTTCACAACAATTCAGCCTATATTAGAAATATCTGAAAATATAAAATATAAAATATAAAGATATTTCCAATATTGCACTACTGTAAGTGTTGAGAGGAGGGTGCGTGAGAGTATCAAATTTGTAAGGAGGAAATCCAATCTCAATATCCTCTTTGACCTCTGACGGGGTAATGGCATGGCAGCACCTACTACTCCTAAGTCACAAGTGACACCCGCATTTGCCAAGCCATACACGTGGACAGAGGTGCAAGTCGGGCAGGGTTACAACCTAACCCAACCCATGAATCTCATTAGTCTGGGTTCGGATTAGCCCGATTTCTTTAATTCCATATTTTTTCTACATACTCTAGAAAAAATTTTGGCTAACCTATAATTTTTTGACAGACTTATAAACAATCATACATATAGATAGATATCCGTTGCATACAATAAAGCTAAGTCAGGTTTGGATTGGATTAAGTGGCTAAAGCCTTAACCCGAATTCAACCTAATGGTACGTTTGATTGCCGAAACTATAAAGGATGGAATGAGAAAGATCGGGATGGGATGAAAATATATTTTTTCTTAGATTTGTATTTCATGTTTGTTTTTCGAGAAATGATATGCTAAATAATTAGTTTCCTGCATTTGTTTACTGAGAAAATTGGACAATTTTCAATTGTTTGACATTGTATTCATGCCAAAATTAGCAAAACAAAAGTTTGGTATTCATCCAAAAATTCGGAGCAAAGCATCCATCCATCACACGATGGTATATTCATCCCAATAATGTGTCGTTATTCAAAAAAAAAGGACAAAACGAACACAAATCGGTGGTCATATGAACACTATTACCTTTGCGCAAGTGAGAAAAAAAAAGATACATACCTCAAACCCAAAAATCACAAAAACGACACACATCTCAACCCAAAACGTACCATATTGAAAAAAATAATAACCACAAACCCAAAAAAATATAGTGCTTATAGTAGATATATAATAGTTGTTCGCCATTTTGGACCTGAAAATAGTTAGGATATCTTACCTAGCAGTTAAGGTGTCGAGCTAAGGTCTCCCTTACTTGCGGATGTGCCGAGTTGAGGTCTCCCTCATTTGTTGAGCTCTCCCTCAGTGGCCAAGGTTCTGAGCCGAGGTCTCCCTCGGTAGTTAAAGTGTCGAGCCGAGGTGACACCCTATATATACATACTCGATTAGGTTCGCGAGCCTCACGAGTCAAGCTTTATTAAGCTCGAGCTCGGCTTGATTAGCAAACGAGCCTATATATTAGGCTCAAGTTCGGCATGAAGCTTGATTTAGACCGAGCCTAGCCGAGCTAGAAAAGCTCGTGAGCAACTCGGCTCGTGGCCACCCCTACTCCGTCCCTACCAATGTCACACTATAGTGGCACACTAAAAACATCTTTTATATTTGTATGTAATCATTGTTGGGAGATATTAGTAGCAAGGTTTTTAAAAACAAAGTAGACAACGAACCGTTCAGGGATCCAGTTCTCAAGTCAAAAGGTCCGATCGTTCGGACCGAACGGATGGCCCATTCTGACAAAAAATAAAAAATAAATAAATAACATTCAAAACTATTAGATGGTTCGAACGATTCTACAACCCGGGTCAACGGTTTACTGACCAAATCAATAGATTTTGACCAAAAGATGGTTTTAGGGTAAAACAGAAATAACCAGCTCCCGGTTTTTCCAGTCCAACTGTGTGATTCGGTCCGGTTTTGAAAACACTGGTTACTCGTGTGCGGCTCTAGTGTTTGTGGGTAACAGTTCTGGATTCGCAGGTCCAAGCTAGCACAGTTGGTAAAGTCAGCGGATGTTGTTCTAATTGAGGATCCAAATTAACCCTTGAGTATTTTGGAGGCAAGAAATTAATTTTCTTTGAGGCTGTCTTTGTTTCTTTATAAGATGAAACTAACTGAAATCTTTTAGACTGTATTGATTTCATATAAATGGCATGGAAAATAAATATTTTCATTGTATAAGAGACAAAAATGTAATTTAAGTATTCCAATCTGAGAGTTCTTTCCACCCACTCTATGTTCGAATAAATAATTAAAGCCCGAGGAATCAGCATGGATGGTCCACATGCATTTGCAATGTCTTCAAATATTTTCTAATCCACATTTAGCGAGCGTGCCAGTAATGAAACTATATAGGCCAAAATGAATAGAATAAATTTGGTGGTAAAGGTTGGCAGCTGGCAAGGTTAAGTTTTGGCTAACAGATCTCACAAGTGCAACCCCTTGCATGGTAAGGTGAGTTTTCCCCAACATTTAGTGCAAAGGATATGGGAGGATGTCTGCCTGTCCAGATGCTACTTTTCCTGTGCTGCAATCTTAGGGCCTGTTTGATTTGCTGGAATAGGGGTTTAGAATCAGAATTGAAATAGATTAATTTTGATTTCAACTGTTTAATTGGGTGGAATCGGAATGAATGGAATGACATTCCCCCATTTGAGGAAATGACCATTCCTGCCTGTCTTTGGGAATGAAATTTCAACCATGCTGATTCCAATTTCCATTTTCATTCCTGTCTTAACCAAACAAACTATGGGAATAGACCATTCCAATTTCAATTCCGACTGTAAACCAAACAGACCCTTAGTTTCATTGACCATGTAAACCTTTTCGTCTATCCACAATGATCTAGACCATTTGGTTGACTTTGACCATACCTGGTTTTATATTAATTAACAACAAATGGTTTACTTTAATTAAAAATAATATAATTTACCATAATTACAATAATTTACTTTAATTAACAGTAAACAATTTAGGCTTAAAAAGTAAATAATTTATTATTATTGTAAATAGTTAATTTACTAACATTACTACTAATCAATAGCAATTTAAATAATTTTTTGAAAATTATCACAAAATATTGTAATTTATTGTTATTTAATTTACTGTTAGTTAATTAGTTATAGAAAATTATTAGAATTGTAGGGGTGGTAATTTTCCCTACAAAACTTATTGAACGGGTCAAGTTTTTTCAAATATTAAACGGGGACTAAGCAAAGACGGGGTGGGGACAAGGAAAATATTTTTGCCCCAAATTAGGATGGGGTTTGCATATAATTCCCTAAACCCAATGGTAAATTAGTAAATTATCTATAGATTTAATATTGATTTTTAAATATCCCTAAGTTTTCCTCATATTCTTATAATCCTAGGATCCCATAAGTTTATTTATAAAATGCTTCCAAATTATCATAATCCAATTCCTAAAATACCCCCAAATTCCCATAATACTATTTGTAAAATATCCATAAATTAGATTTTTTAGGTGTTTGCCTCAGGGTGGGGAAAATTTGGGGATTACCCATCTTCGACAAGCAATGGGTACCTCACCCCGAACCTGCCTTACAACTTTGGTTGGGGCAAGGATGGAGTATAGTGTCTTGACTTACAAGGGGGAGGAACAAGGAGGAGTGCCCCATCCCGTGCATCACACGATCCCACTAGTGTGTGTGTGTATAGATAGATAGATAGATAGGTAGATAGATAAAGAGAGAGAGAGGGAGAGAGAAAGAGAGAGAGAGGACAAGGCGTAGTGCAGAAGAAAAGTCATCTAGACAGGAAAACAAATGAATGAAAAGCAAACATAAAGTGATGGTTATACATATAACCATTGGACACCCTTGGCCCAACCTGTCCTACTCGTTAAAATTCAAGTTATTGGGTCAACCCACCACCCATTAATGACCCATGATTAAAACGTACAACCCAACTCATTAATAAATGAGTGAATTGGGTTGGTTAAATCCAACCCTAGTTTTTCTGCGGCTGGGCCGTGCTGTGAGGTTGGTGTGAGGAGTATATTTGGACTCTTTATCGACCCTAAATAGATGAATAAAGCTTGAATAATGAGGATAATAATAATTCATTCTCCTAATAAATTAAAGATTTACTACACAGAGTCTGTGTTCCGATTTCCTTGTCACACCCCCTCAAAACAGTTGCAATTGCACATAGGGAACATCTCTTGTATTTGTATGCTTTCATTTATGGGGAGATATTCTCATTATATGGCGACAAGTGATATGAGGTGGTTGTGAAGAGGATTATGTGATGAAGAAATTGTGAGTCTACAATACCAAAAGCTACTTTTAGGGGTGTGCGGTTTGATTCCCTTTGGTTCTTTCAAAGTGTAAAATTGAATGAAATGTATAATTATATTGTACATATAATATTATTGGATTCGATTATGATATGAAAAAGATATGATATCAAAAAAATAACTGACCAATAAAATAGAATCATAAACGTGGTAGCAACTCAGTTGTCATTTATCAAAATTCATGGGTGGGTTTTGATTGGTCAAAACTCTGTCCATATCATATCTTCATAGATTTTCCCTATTATTTTATATTTAATTTTTTTTTTTATTTATAGAAAATGCTAAAATTGAGATTTGAGGCAAATAAGGTAACTTGTGATTCATGACCAGGTGTAATATATATAGATAATATATAATATAATATATATTCGATTAATAGGATTTTTCGGTTCGACCTGGTTTTTCGATTTTTAATGAACTAGAATAGGGACAGGTTAAAGTAAAGCTGTAGTTGGCAGGGCCCAACCAGGCCCAGCCCATTGCCTACGATTAGAATTAAAGTCCAACGTTTAAACGCGTCATGAATTAACACTAATAAATGCTTGAATGAGTGAAGTAGACGGAGTATGGAGTTGCATACCAAGCAACAGCAAGTAAGCTGAAGATCTGAGTTTTGCTTTGCATATGGGAATCATGAGTGTCTGTGTCTCTGCGAAGAAGCTCTATGGGCTTCTTCTTCTTTTGAGCATTGTCTTTCATTGAGTGCTAGCACTCTTGGCGACAATGGTTGTCGTTTTGGAGGTCGGCGTTGCGGCTTTGGTCATCGTGGTGGTGGAGGCTTCGGGCGTGGTAGAGGATTCGGAGATGGGGGTGGCGTTGGTGGAGGTGGTGGTTTTAGCGCTGGTGGCGGAGGTGGTGTTGGTGGTGGGTCATGTCATGGAGGAAGTTTTGGAGCTGGTGGTGGTGTAGGAGGTGGTTCCAGAGGAGACGTTGGTGGAGGCGGTGGTTTTGGTGGTGGTGGCGGAGGTGGTGTTGGCGGTGGGTCTGGTCATGGAGGAGGATTTGGAGTCGGTGGTGGTGTAGGAGGTGGAGCTGGAGGAGGTGCCGGTGGAGGTGGTGGTGCAGGTGGCGGTGGAGGAGGTGGTGCAGGTGGAGGATCCGACCATGGTGGAGGATTTGGAGCAGGTGGTGGGATAGGTGGTGGTGCTGGAGGTGGTATTGGTGGAGGTGGTGGTTTTGGTGGTGGTGGTTTTGGTGGTGGTTCCGGTCATGGTGGTGGCTTTGGAGCTGGTGGTGGAGTTGGTGGTGGTGTTGGTGGAGGTGGAGGCTTTGGTGGCGGCGGAGGTGCTGGTGCTGGTGCTGGTGGGGGATCAGGCCACGGTGGTGGATTTGGTGCAGGTGGAGGAGTGGGAGGTGGAGCTGGTGGTGGCAGTGGCATTGGTGAAGGTGGTGGTGCGGGTGGAGGTTTAGGACGAGGTGGTGGGAATGGAGGAGGGTTTGGGATAGGAGTCGGCGTCGGTGTTGGAGTTGGAGTCGGCAGTGGTGGTGGAGCAGGTGGTGGAAGTGGAGGTGGCGGTGGTGGACGTTAAGAACCATTGAGCCAGGGATACACGTACAAGTTTCATACAGTATCAGTTATTTAAAGATAGAAAGCATTCCGAAGTGTTGGATATATTTATGCTATGCTCTTTTTATTTACACTTTTATGAGTTAGGTTTAGGCACTCTGTATTCCTGTAAGCAGCATTGCTGAAGTTATTAGCATGTGCTTTCTGCTATTTCCCATGGGATCCGTTGCAACTTGCAAGGATAACAATTGCAAACTGCCAAATTTTTTGTTTCATCGATCTTCAAGCTTCATTGATTTTATGGTACCCCTGATTCTTCTTTTTAAAACAGAACAGAAGCAAAACCCAGGTGTAAACCGAGAGTAAAATATGTAGTTTCAGGAGAAAGCAAAGAAGCAGTTTGTTCATCATCTCACTATTGTTGTATCAAGAACTTTGCATTTTTAATTTCATGAAATAAAACATTTGAAAATTAGTACTTCTTTTAATACCGATCAATAATATCAAAATACCTTAACCAAAAGGTGGAATGAGGCATTGGTTCAATCAAGTGCAGTTTGATTCACAAAAAGAATAAAGAATGAATGAAGGAATTAAAAAAGCTGTTAAGACCTCAGGTTAATGTGTTCTCACAGAGGCATTTGTTAATTGCTGAGAGAAGATTGGGTCAGTGTTCAATTCTTGATTTCGTGATAACATTTATACTCTGAGAGAAGATTTTACCAACTAAGCTAGCTAGCTACTTCTCAACTAAATGGCACATTAAGTTCTATAACCATATCGTTAATATGCTATTATAATTATTATTTTTTAAGTTCCATACTGCAATGGATAATTAATTATGTTTTAGAAGATGAATTTTCAAAACAAAAAATATATTTCAAGGATTTGGTTGAGTAATCTGGATTTGGGAATCACCATTTAGGAGTCGCTAATTGATTGAATAGTAGCAATGAATAAACATACTAAAATTGGATTTAAGAATTTTGCCTTCTTCAATTCCTTTCTTAACTTTTAGGTCACTAGTAAAAGTGCAGGTGCGTTGCACGTGATAATATCAAATGATAATGATGATAATAGTCAACATACAAATAACCTTACTGATTGAACCATTAACATATTTAACCAGGAAAATGGACTATGATTAAGACATTAATTCATTTTTTTCTTTGTATTTTAGCCATTTGTATCTTTACAAACAATAATTCTTATTTTTCAAACATATTTTTGTTTAATATGAAGAATATATAATATTAATGCATGCTCAAATTTTTCTATCAAATTTATAAAAAATTCTATAGCTTTATTTTTTATTATTTAATTTATGAGATAATAAAAATTACTTATTTAACAAGAGGAAATGCAATCCCAATATATTGTTTCAATATTGGTTTTTAATATTGTGGTCAAATTAATTATTTATATATATCATTTATATGTAATATATATATATTATTTATTATTTATTTATAAATATGTTATTTATATTGCATTTTTGTAAACTTCTTATAAGATGAAAATAGTTGAAAAAATACTTATATTTTTTTGTTTTTCTCTATTTCAACTATTATATTTTCTTTTCCTTTTAATAGTTTATTATATTTTTAAATTAAATCAAATCATATCAAATTCAGATATCCAACATCTTGATTAGATTCAAATTTGAAGCAATATTTATGAGATCTGATCAAATCTTTGGATTGAATTGAATTCGAATATTACCCTGATTCAAATCCAATCCTATCTGTTTGCATCCCTACTAAACCACTTGCCTACAATGACCTATCTAATTAAACCATTGAACCATTTGACATGGTTAATAGGGTCATGTGTTATACATTAATTCTCTTTATTTTTTATCCTAATTTTTATTTCATTTCAATCATTAATGAAAATAATTCTCATTAATCACACTTTTTTTATATGATAAATATATAATATTATAGAATGTACCCAAAATTATCTACAAATTTCAATATTTTCTAGAATTTTATGTATTTTATTATTTAACAATAACACCAACTGTTGATCTATTTGACATGGATAGTTGAACCACTAACCTACCACTTGCACGAAAAAACTATTTTTTCTTTTTCGGTTGATTTTAAATCATGTATTCCATTTTCATCATCAATAAAAGTAATTCTTATTTTTGCATGTGGTAGTATCAAATGATGATAATGATAATAATCAGCAACCAAAGGACCTTACTGATTGAACTGTTAACCTATTTAACCAGGAAAATGGACTATGATTAAGACATTAATTCATTTTTTTCATTGTATTTTAGCCTTTTTTATCTTTACTAACAATAATTCTCATTTTTCAAACATATTTTTGTTTAATATGAAGAATATATAATATTAATGTATGCTCACTTTTTTATAAAATTTATAAAAAATTTATACTTTTATTTTTTATTATTTAATTTATGAGATAATAAAAATTACTATTTACCAAGAGGAAATGCAATTCTATTATATTATTTGAACACTGGTTTTTAATTTTGTGGTCAAATCAATTATTTATATATAGTATTTACATATAATATATGTATTATTTTATTATTTATTTATAAATATGTTATTTATATTGCATTTTTGCAAACTTTTTATATGATGGAAATATTTGAAAAAGTATTTATATTTTTTATTTGTTTATTTCAACTATTATATATTCTTTTTCTTTTAATAATTTATTATTTTTTAAAAATTTAAATAAGATCGTATCATATTTGAATATTTGACATCTTGATCGGATTCTGATTCAAATCAATATTTATGAGATCCGGTCGAATCTTTGGATCAGATCAAATTTGAATATACCCTTATTTAGATCTGATCTAATATGTTTGCATCCCTACCAAACCACTTACCTACAATGACCTAGCTAATTAAATTATTAAACCATTTGGCATGGTTAGTCGGGTCATGTGTTAGACATTAATGCTTTTTATTTGGTATCCTAATTTTTATCCCATTTCTATCGTTAATAATGAAAATAATTCTCATTAGTCACACTTTTTTTATATGATGAATGTATAATATTATAGAATGTACTCAAAATTATCGACAAATTTCTAAATTTTCTAGAATTTTATGTATTTTATTATTTAGTAATAACATCATGTATTGATGTATTTAACATGAATAGTTTAACCACTAACCCACCACTTTGATGGAAAAACCATTTTGCTTTTTTGGTTGATTTTAAATCATGCATTCTATTTTCATCACCGATAAAAGTAATTCTTATTTTCACATTTATTCTTGTTTAATATGGTGAATATATAACAATAGAACAGTATCAAAATGTTTTATACAAAGCTTATATTTTTCTTTGAGTTTATGTATGTATGTATATAATATACCTTAGTTATGACATCATAGATCGACCCATTTGACCTGAAATGTTAGATCATTGACCTACCTACCATCGAGATATGGAAATGGTTTCATTTTCAAACTGGTTTTAAATTTTGCATTTCATTTATATCATTGATAAAATAATTATTGTTTATCATCCTTATTTTTATTTATATTATTAGTATATAATATTATAGATGTGTCCAAAATTGTTTCATATTTTTTTGTACTACTCTATTTTAAAAAAATTTAATTTTGATTATACATCATGGGCTAACTTATTTGACTTGAAAGGTTGAACCACTAACCCACCCTAGATAAGAAGATGGTTTAATTTCCTATCTGTTTTAAGTTGTATGTTTGATGTCCATCATCAATAAAATTATGTCTATTTTATATATTTATTTTTTAATATGACAAATATATAATAATAGAAACGTGTCCAATTTTTTTCAAAATTTCTTTTTTTTTCTATATTTTTGTATTTCTTATATGTATAAATTTGTATTATTTATTTATGACATCATGAAATTATCCATTTGACCCAAATGGTTGAAGTACTTACCCACCACCTAGATGGAAAATATGATTTTATTTCTACCTGTATTTTAAAAATATAAAATTTCATTTTATTAATAATTATTGTGTATGAATTTATTAGTGGAATTTAATGAAGATAAAAGAAAAGTATTTTTTATATTAACATCATGAAATTATCCATTTGACCCAAATGGTTAAACTACTTATCCACCACCAAGATGAAAAATATGATTTCATTTCTATGTTTATTTTAAAAATATAAAATATTAATACTTATTTGTATGGATTTATTAGTGGAATCTAATGATGATAAACAAAAGTATAAATGTTAGATTCAATGAGAGAGAATGTGATTTATTTTAATGACTTAAATGTGAGACTTAATGAGAGTTAATTGAATGTACTTAATAGTATTCTTTTAATTACATTTTCTGCCCTTTCAATGGAGATGAACTAAATTCAAGAAGAGGTATTTTTGTAAAGAAAAATTCCATAAGCCAATACCTCCTCATTCACACTTTTATATGTAGTATAGATAAGGCCAATTTTCAATATCAGATGTCAAAGTTTCACACTTTCGGCTTATCATATATTTAAGCTTTGAGGTCAAAAACCCACGTTAGAATAGAATCTGCCAAGCAACTACTGACGTGAAGGCATGTCATTATGTTTAATCTGGAGCCTATCAAGTTGGCTGGCCCAGATTAACATTTGTGCATCATATCATAGTCTGAAAATGCTTGGCTCCTAACCAAGGATTAAAATATGGATGCGAGTGTCTCACAATAAAGAAATGGTGAAGCATGACTTGAACCCTGGCTAATGAATGCCCATTACCCAAGTACGCATGTACATTAACCACAAAGCCATTTGTTATTTCATATTAATACATGTAATAAAATATTTTTTATTAAACTTATGCTATGTTTTGTTTGAAGGAAAAAGTAGGGAAAGGAAAGGAAAGTTAGGGAAACCTTCACAAATCTTGTATACGTTTCCTTAACTTTCCTTTCTTTTCCCTACCTTTTCCTTTAAACCAAACATAGCCTTAAAGTTTACATGCAAATAAAAAACTACATTTATTTTCAAAAAACTTCAATTATAAATTAAAAAGAACAATATTCAAAATTAGTATTTTATAAATCAATGGAATAAATCATTTATAAAATCCACAGATATACATATATCAAAAATGAATTTTAATTTCAAAAATTTATACAAATAAAATATTCATAATAGAATAATTATTTTAATACTTAAATTTTATAAATTTGCATATGGTATATATATCTTAAATTTTTATAAATTATTAATTAATATTTTAATTTGCATTAAATAACAATGTGTTTATTATTTACGAAAATAAAAGTATTGTTTACAAAGTATTTAAAAATATAATATAAAATGAATCTAAAAAATAATTTTTAACTTTGAAATTTTATAAAAATAAAATATTAACAATGGAATAATTATTTTAGTAATTAAAATTTATGAGTTTTCATATGATATGCATTTTCAAAATTTTAATAGATTCGGTATATTTTAAGTTAAGATTATATATTTTCATAAAGTATTAATTGATATTTTAATTTACATTTTATAATAGCATATTTATTGTTTACAAAAATATAAATATTATTTCTCAAACATTTAAGAATTAATTTGTTAGTTGATTTTTTTTTTAATGTTAAAAAATAAAAATAGAAAAAATGACATAATAATTCAAATATAATAGTTACATATGCTTTATGCCTTACACTTTAATAGATAATAAAATAATATTGGCTTTTGCATGTATTAATTTGTAAAAATCTATATAATATTTGATTTAGACTCTTGATTGAAGCATTACTAATAAAATTGTATAATATCTACATGTCTTATTTTATTAATTATAATATATTTCTTTATATATATATAATTTAAATATACAATTCCTATATATTTATATATTATTTATAGTTGTTTTGACATTAAATTTAATGCTATTAATATATTAATGGAATTTATGTATATTTTCTTAATGTATCCAAGCGTTTTCATGTTTTTTCATTCGTATCCATGCATTTTACAAGTGTATACATATCCGTATCAGGATCCAAGTTGTCCAATAAATACCCGATACTTTAATCCTTAATCCTAAGTCATCGTCATTTGAAAACATGTGTCTTATCATATGCCATTTTACACATTAAATTAATTTTTTCCTTCACAATAGTTGGGCATGACTCTGGGCGCCTATTGGGTTGTACACTTGTACTGGAGGCAAAAGTCCAACAGGTTGATACAATAATTAACGAATAGGAAGGAATTAGAGGAAAATGTAGACGGAATTGGAAGGGAATTTCTTGATGATATAAAATAACACCTAACCCAGACAAATCTCTTCTATCTTGACGAAGAAAATTGTAGAAAGAGGCAGAAAGCAATAAATTAACCAAATATGATCGAGTACAATTAGAGGAAAAAAAAACAAAAAAAAAACTTTCGAGGATGTTTTGAACTGTTGATTAGCTAGTATTTATTTTTTTTTTCAATTCAATTTCCACCGTTACCAATTCCACCACCACCTCCTCCTCCTCTGGTTTCTCCACCTCCAGCCGAGCCCATTCCGCTTCCCCCGCCGCTTCCACCGGTCCCACAGCTATTACCATATCCTTCACCATGCCCTATGGCCCCTCCAGCACTTCCAGTTCCACCACCACCACCTGATCCCTCTCCTCCACTGCCACCTTTGCCACCGCCACCACCACCACCAACACTTACACCCCCACGGCCAATACTAATCCCAATGCCAGCACCACCCCCTCTGCCTACACTAACGCTGCCATTGCCAGCAGTGACACTACCCCCACCTCCTACCCCTATGCCAATGTTTACACCTCCCTTCCCGACTGCAATTCCAACGCCTATACCGACACCTCCACCAGCTGCAGCGCCACGACTAGTAGCGATACCTCCACCCACCCCACCGCCGATACCGATGTCGACCTTTGACCCATTACGTCTCACTCCAATGCCAAACCCGTTGCCACCACCACGACCGCTCCAAGATATGAGACTTCTCTCATTTGGACTAGTTTCTTTCTCTGGGAGATGTCTTGCTTTGACACTGCAAGGAAACCACACAAAACAAAATAGAACGCATATTATGACCAGCAAAGAAGCAATCGATCTCTTCATGTTATGAGACATGTGTCATGTCGTCGATGCAACTTCTGGATTCCTTCACATAACTTTATATAAGACGATGAAATCGATTGTTTTTACTTTTTAGTCAATTTTTCCACTTCTCTCTTAGAGTCAAAAAAGTTGGATCAGGAACATGTTAGCCGCGTTCCTCCCACTGGATCCGGAGTTCCGGACCAACCTTTTTTTTTTCCTTTTTTGACAAGAACAAGCTGCCCAGGTAGACCTTATTCCATCCACACTAATTTAATTATAAATTTACTCTACCACTCTGTGGTCTCAAATGGCGCATTGGGAGATTTGCAAATTTTCCCACCGTGGAATATAATTGTTATTCAGCAATCAGAATTAATTTCTGTGTGAGGCAGTCTTGGGGCTCATTTTGTTCCAGTCAAGTTACAGATATCGAACTGAGTGCGGGCAATGTTTAGGAAATAAAAGAAGAAAGTGCAAATTTTTTAAACTATCCCTACTGTTTAACTAAGTGACAAATTATATTTAATTATTGTAATGCATTATCCTTAGGTGGTGTTCTTTTTTTGGATTTTGAGATGGAGGAAGTTGGTTAATGGGATTTTGGTTCTTATTGACGAAGAATCACAAGTTTATTTTTCAAATTTATGTAGGGATCAGGGAAAGTTTATTTTCCTGGGTACCACTTACCCGAGTAAGTAATGTTACCCATCTCCTAGATGGATAACTAACTTTCCCACTTAGGGAGAAAATTAATAACACTTGAATGAGACAAAAATGCCCTATAATTAAAATGGTCATTACCTTATTTACCTAAAAAATAAAAAAACATAAGTAAATATACTTACCCGAATAAGTGTTTCTCAATAAAATCTTACCCTTTGTATATTTCCCGTAAGCCGAATAATCATCTAATTGCCATTGCTCACATGGCTATCAGATGTGCTATTCGCTGACAGATCCGAACCTCAATATTACCGTCCATCTGCTCTTCATTGAGAGATCCAAACCCCCAAAGTGATCTTTGCGATCTAGATGCCAACAACACTAGCTATATGGAGAAAGTAATCATATTCCTAAGCCCAATAATTTAATGGTGATGGCAGACTAGCAAACGACAAAACGTCGATGGCCAAAACCATATACAGCTTCTAATTCTTCGGTGTCGCCTTTTCAATCGCCAACGGCAGTCAAACTTGAAAGCTGGTCCATCTGTGGAGAACAACAGCCCTCTCGACCATCACTACATGAGTCCCCACGCAGTTGCCGAAGTACGCTGTTGGTACTAGAGGCTCTAGGTGAGCTCTACAATAAATCATTCCTCTCGGTTGAAACGTCGACGATGCCCCATCTCTCTCTCTCTTCGTGTCGTAACCCCATCGGCAACCACCTGCCAGCGATGCTCCATCTCTCTTCTCCATTTTCATTTTTTCCATTCTGTGATACTCTATCTCATATTTACACTCTTCTGAAGCTGAGTATTCAATGAGATGAATTTATGCTATCAAATTCCAATTGAACTATGGAGCCAAATAAGAATATCACCACCAGATCTGATTCAAATACACGCAAGAGAAGAGTCCTGCATTTATCGCTAAGGTTTAGTTTGAAAGGAATACAATACAAATATATACCGTATAAATACATATAAAATAATACAAAATACTCTTTGCCTTTTGAAGACCCAGCTGGTGCTCTCTCTCTCTCCGTGCCATAACACCATGGTCGACCACTTGTTGGCGATGCCCCGTCTCTCTCTCTTTCCATATCGTAACCCCATCATGACTTCTCTGCCATTGTCACAGAGGACTGCATCCACAGACGTAGAGGCTTCCTTATCCCTACTCTGATCAACTCCCACATGGACCACCCCACTTCGTTTTCAAGCATTTGATTGATCACCGCTCAGAGATCAAAGTTAAAGGGAGATGAAACAGATCGGAAAGGGAGAGAGAATGAAGGGGAAGAAGAAGGAGAGAGAGAGAAGTGCAGAGGTGGAGGGGTCCGTTGCTAGCGACGGTGATGAAACAAGGGAGAGAGAAGAAAGGGGAAGAAAAAAGAGAAGGAGAGAGAGGCCGGACCGGCGTCTCCTTTTCGATCACTACTGCCAGTCGAACATGAAAGACAGTCTATCTATGGAGAACGATGTACAGGAACCTCATGATCTCCCTTGCCGATATGTTTCTAATGAGCTGAACCCGACCCAACACTTCTCCCTGTTAATCGAAAAGCTCTTTGGGTCTCCGCCTCCTTCGTAGATTTGTGTTTCTCACTATATGGGTTTATAGACCCTTGCTCCGACCGGCCCCTCCACCACTTTTAGACAGCAACTCAGTGACCGTAGAGAGAGGGCAGACGGATTCAATCAAGCCGGCGGTGACTCCAAATGTAGCCGGACTAGCTAGTATGCAGTTTTGCTAAAGCATCGCTTTCGGGCTGGCGGGATTGCTCCTCATGACGAAGTTAGGAAATTGAAGTTGTGGGAAATGGGCAAATGGCCAAGATTGGTCAGTTACCATTAACTAGGCATTGGTCTTAGTCTTTTAGCAAAGGAAGATGAAGATGAAAAAGCTTCCTTAATTGCAAAAGCAGAGTTAGGATTTTTTTTTAGGGGGCCAAAATGTAATAAACATGAATTGATGGCCAAAATATAGTTAAAATTAAAATAGGCATTAGGGTTGTTCATAAGAAGGCCCAACCCGATCAAATTGACCAACTCGGACCGACCCAACCCGAGTCGGCCGGGTTTTCATCAGCACGGGTCGGTTTCGGGTTGTGCAAATTCCTAAACCAATGATTCAGGTCGGTTTTGGTTTTTACACAAGAAAACCGAAACGGGCTCGAACCAAACTGACTTAGTTCCTAGTTCAAACATGAAGTTCCAAAGCCCATCAGGCCACCTAGTTTTTGAATGGTTGCAAGAAACTTTGGATTAGTGAATAGTGATTAATGAACAACTTTTGTGATTAACTTTTTATTTAAATTTTATCATAGGAGATGGCTGAAATGATGTTCAATTTATGACTGTTTTTAAAATTAACAAGATTTTATCACAGGGATGAACTTAAAACCAAAACCGACCCAAACCGACCCAACCCGACTCAAACCGACCAGATCGGTTTTGCTTAACACTGGATCGGTTTCGGTTTCTATGTCAAGTAACCCGACCAGGTTGGATCGATTGGAAAAATCACAATAAACCGACCCAACCCGACTCGTAAACAGCCCTAATAGGCATTGTAGGGATTTTCAAGGCATAGGGAGGCCACTGCCACCCCCTATCTCCGCCCCTGTTTCCTTGCGAAGCTCTTCGCGAGCATTTCATCTTTGAAGGAAAACTTCAATTAGCACAAGGAATCCTCTTTCAACGTTTTGGTGTTGCCAGTGTCTTTGCTTGATTGTTTGCTATTGTAATCGTTAGTTGGAAGTTGCAACAGTAAGAGTTAGTTTTGAGACAAGATTTAACGAAGGGTAAAATTGACATTTTACCATTTCCGTCCAAACTTAACAATGATGGTAATAGCAAAAACAGTAAGGATGGTTTAAGATAATAGTTAAAGTAAGAATAGAATTAATTAATTAACTAAACATAGGAATACTTTAAAAATTTTGCCCAATAAAAAAAGGGTACGACTATGTTGGGAATGAGAACTGAGAACTGGAATTAACGTGAAAAAAGGGCTAATAAACAGCGAAAAGTTTTACGTGTGCGAGAGTCAACCGGAATGACTTCAGCCATAGCCGAAGAATGGATAAAGATATCTACAAATTCACATATCACTGGTATATATAGTGTGCCCTTTGGTTTCTTCTGAATGTTTTGACTAGTTCAGAGTACAGACGTAAGTTGGAGACAATGGTAGATAGAGTTCAAATCAGCCTCTCACAGCACATTCCTGCCAATATTTTTCGATTATGATATTACCATTTCTAGTGTCATCATCGGAAATGTTTTCAATATACGGTGGGGATATATTGTGAAGGGCAATTTTGTGGGGGGGCTGATTTTTTCTCTGATAGATATTAGTCGTTAATTTCTGAATAATCAGGTCTTTTTCCTTTCGAACGACTAGAAATTAACAGGCCGGGCTGCCCGAGAGTAGTGGCATTTGGAGTCTTGGGTCTTCGGTAAAGGTTGAATGACGGGAGTCGATACTGGATTGGTATAAAGAGAACCCAAAACCATAAAAGCTCAGAAATAGTACAAATGCGTACATATAAATAATATAAAATGTTAAGGTTTTATATTCTACAAATTTTGTATTTGTACTCTTTTAAACAGAACCTTAACCTAAGGCTCAGTTTAAAAAAAATACAAATGCAATATGTACAACTTAAATACATACAAAATAATATAAAATATAAAGTTTTGCACTCTACATATTTACATTTGTACTCCTCCTAAACTAAGCATAAGGAAAGCCGACTGCTGTTTTGGATACTTAACCACTGCTGTTTAGTGGGAGACCCTTGGGTCATGTTGGGTTTAACAAAGCGTTTAACAAAGAAATTGGAACCTAGGGATTTTCTCTACATAAAACCCCTTTTGGATACTTAACCACTGCTGTTTAGTGGAAGACCCTTGGGTCATGTTGGGTTTTCTTCGCAAGATAACTCATGTAATAATAATAATAATAATAATAAATTACAGGGTTCATTATATTCTCAATTAATACATTTACTTACTAGCTAGCTAGCCATATTTATGCGATGAATGTAAATGGACTGAATTTTGGACTAACGAGCTTTATATAACTTCTATTTTTCAGGCTTCAGCTGCAAACTGCGATGCATCCCCAAGTCCATTTGACTTCTGATTCATGATCTGATATTTTCACTGCATGTGTTGCCCTCCAGCCTCCTCATGATTAAATTAAGCCTGGTAGTAATTAGTATCCCTTCCTTCATTTAATCATTCAACGTAACAGCTTAACCTGTTAAATGAGGTCCGTGAATAGGTTTTTATTTTCTAATATATGCCCCTTCATGCAAAAGTTTATTGGAGTTGAAATGTGAATAAGTACAACCTTGAGAGTAAACGAGTATCAAACATTAGACCACTTGGTCAAACAAGTTATAATATACCATCTCAAAAAATCATTCAATTTAAAAGCTCAAATAATAAATGAAGTTTATTAATAGATTTTTATTCTCTAATACTCTTCTATGGTTGAACTATAAAAATTATCCCTAGAACTATTCAATTCAACCTCAAGTTGTTCATCCGATGCCTTTAATTACAAGAATAATTTGGAGGATGAATGCAAATATAGAGCTAAGCTTGTATGCTAATGGTGAAAGTTGCTGAAGCAAATGATTCATAAATTTGAATTTGGAAATATTCAACGCCCTTTCTTTCTTTCTTTCTTAATAAAATTTGATTTTTGTTAATCAAAATTTTAAGATGCCAACATTTCCTGATCAGCCGGAATTCAGGATATTAGTTTGGGGATAAAAAACCAAAATGAAATAAATAAATAAATAAATAGACACCTTCGTTGAGATTTTTGTTCTTAAGTTTTTAATTGCTTCTATTTTTGGTGAAGACATAAGTAAACTGTTAGTACACTGATAGACTGCAAAACCCAGTACACGAAAGCAAGCTTGGATTTACAATCCATTTGGAGAGAATTAAATAGAGATGCTTATAAGTCATGACCACTGAGCTAGCCATTGGCGGAAACAAATTTACATCACGAAGAAACTCTGGACTCGTTGGTTTTTCGAACTCAATTTCCACCACCACCACCTCCACCTCCTCCATTGGCTGCTCCACCTCCTGCCGACCCCGTTCCGCTTCCTCCTCCACTTGCACCAGTAGCACTGCTATTACCAGACCCCTCTCCATGTCCTACCGCTCCTCCAGCACTACCAGTTCCAGCCCCGCCACCCGATCCACTACCACCGCTACCACTGCCACCTCCACCTCCACCTCCACCACCAACTGTTACACCACCACGGTTGATACTGATCCCAAAACCAGCTCCACCCCCCACGCTCACAGTGCCGTTACGAGTGGTAATACTGCCACCACCACCCACTCCTATACCAATATTCACTCCATCCTTTCCAATTTCAACGCCAACGCCTACACCCACACCTCCACCAGCCGTAACACCCCCGCCACGACTAGTGGCGACACCTCCTCCAACTCCACCGCCGGTACCGATGTCGACCTTTGACCCATTACGGCTCACACCAATACCAAACCCACCACCACGACCACCACCTCTGGAAGACGCAAGCAGTCTTCTCCCATTTGGACTGGATTGTTTCTGCAGGAGACTCCTTGCTTTGACGCTGCAAGGAAAGTGTGCAACACAAAATAGAAGACATATGATGATTAACAAGGAGGCAATCGACCTCTCCATCGAGTGAGACATGTTGGCAGTGCGCAACTCGATTATTATGGGTTTCCTTCAATTCACTAGTTTACAGCTTAATATATAAGGTGAAATGGAAGCTCAATATTGTCCACTTCTCTCTTCAAAGTCAATAAAACGGCTCCGTCCTCCCACGGAATTCAGCTCACTGACCATCTGGACCCTTGTATATATTGTCCACATCATCATCATCATCTTCGTACATTTTTTTACTCTACTCTGAAATTAATTGTTCTTGAAAATTAATAAGTGAATGAATTGCACAGTTCTGGTACGTATAACCTTTGAACTCATTTCAGCTTTTTAGTTTCAGAGTCACATGAAAAATTGGTTTAAGGCCCAAGAAAACATATCTATCTATCTATATATATTAGAGATGGTATCAGAATCATAAATCATCTAATATATATAGGGGCTCTAACAATTCTTGACAGAGTTGAATCGGGTTTTCCAATTGAGAAAAATTTCTCCTAAACCGATCTGGATACAAGCTGGTCCAATTATCCACCAATGACAACACCAAGATCAGAAATGGAATTATGCAATGATGAAATATTTCTATCAAATATGCTATTTTTTTAATCGTTATTTCTTTACATTTATAAGTTCATGAAAATTGAGAAATTAAAGTAAAAGAAAGTTGTTATCTAGAAAAGAAAGTAGTTCTCTGATTGGTCTGAGTGAAGGAGAAAATTGAAGAGAAAGAAGTGTATAAATAAGTAGAGGATACAAAAAAAAAAAGAGATCAATATTAATGTATCGTCTGGGGACCAACCAAGAAAAATTGACGTGTAAAACGGATGTAAACACTGGGAAATATTCTCCTTAGAAGTCAACTGAACGACTTTGATGTAGAGCACATACCAACCCCACTAAGCGAGCGAAAGGCAAATGAGATCTAGAAAATTAAAGGGATAAGTATGAGAAGCAATCCTGAATGCCCCTTGGATTTCTTAAGATGTTTTGACCAGACTCTACTCAATTTGGCTTAGGGTTGGGGTCGATCGGCTCCTTTTTGGTTTTTCACTTTGAGTCCCACAGGAAAAAAAAAAACCTAAACAAAGTGAGTCATTTAGAATTTCCTGGTAGGATCCTTCGACCAAATGCCTTTTACGTGTTAATTTTAAGAGTTAGGGTTTAGGACTTGGATATGAAAAATGACGTTTTTTTGTGTAAATTTTGAAATTGATGCATAAAGCTTCAAAACAGTGTTTAGTCAAGGTAGAAAACGACAATCTATACCTACTGTAAGGGCACTATTTATTTAAGAAGAAAAACAGCAATTTGAAGACAAATGAATGAATCAGCACCCATTGACTACAAGACCATTTTAAGATAGTTAATTCTTTTTGACTTTGGCATCTTAATCCAGCACTGCGTTCGGGCCGTTTCCCTTCAAACTTCTATATTTGTGGTTTAGCCTGTGTTTGGAATCGGTGTAAAACTTTACATTAGTTTGATTTTGTTCGTGTTTGGAAGGAGAGTGTACAATCAAAATCCATGTAAAGGTCTACTCCGATTTAGTTTTACATACGTTTGGATTGAGTGAAGTTTTACGCCGATAGTCAATGTAAAACCTATCAAACATAAATCTTTACATCAATTATCGATGTAAATACTACATCGGTTTTTATTGATGTAAAACTTTACACTCTTCACCCATCGTGTTTTTCAAAAAGCAACAGTCACTTTTACACCGATGATGTTTTAAACTGATTCCAAATGCAACCTTATGAATTTGCGATTAAGTAGTCTTAGATCAAATAAAAAAAAGGGAAAATTCTATATCAGTATCCTATACTTTGGCTCGAGTGAGAATTTGGTCCCCGAACTTTCAAAATGTGACAATCCAGTACCTGTCATTAACCAGCCCGTTAATCAGCCATTAAATGACATTTGAAAAGTCAAAAATGCCCTAAGAATGCATCTAATTCTCTTTATCAACCATCCAAACATTGACAATAAAATGAACAGTCCCAAATTCTAGATTCTTCTAAATAGTTACCAATGTTTTTGAATAGAAGAGGCTAGGATTTGGGACTATTCATTTTTTTGTCAACATTTGGATGGTTGATAAAGAGAATTAGATGGCATTTGAAGGGCATTTTTTACTTTTCAAATGTCACTTAACGGATGATTAACGGACTGGTTAACGGTAGGTACTAGATTATCACATTTTGAAAGTTCGGGTACTGGATTGTTGCATTTTAAAGTTCGGGGACCAAATTGTCAATCGAGCCAAAGTATAGGGTACTGATCTAGAATTTTCCCTAAAAAAACTACCTACACAGAAATGTACTTTGACGATCCATATATACATACTCAACCAAGGTTTCCTATTTTCTTCCCACCTTAACCAATGACATCATCAGTCAACAAATCAACATTTGTCGGCTAATTAAGGATTAAGGACTAGGGTGTCAACAGTATTCGAAAATTCGACTTCAAATTCGAAATTTGACATAATCGAATCAAATTCGGATAATTCAAATATCTAATCAGTCAAATTCAGATATCTTATTCATATCGAATAGCTAATTGGATAGAATTCAGATATGACCTGATTCGATTCAATAAATATCTGAATTCAATCAATTATTTAATTCTTATATAATATATGAAATACTTAAATGTTTTATATAATTTATATATATATATGATAATTAAATTATATAAATCATGTATATATTTATATACTTTATTTAAACAAAACATTTGTTTTATATATTTATTAATTACCTAAAATAATTAATTGGTCAAATTCGAAGTAATTCGAATATTTAAATATTTAATTGAATTTGAATTCAAATATTAATTTTCAATATCCATCTGTCGGATATCGAATCGAATACGGATATCAAATTTTCTAATCAAATTCAAATTAAGATATTACATGATTTGATTCTAATTCGATCAATTTATACCCCTATATTATATATCTATATATATATTAAAAGGAAAGGGGTGGTCTCCCCTTTTTCCAAATGGAAACTCTGTAGATTTCCATGTGTTACCTTGTGTATCGTTGACTATTTTGGTGTTTAATCGACCAATTTTTAAGAAATCAAAAAACGATTATTAAAATCAGCCTTAAATATAACCACTTAGGTAAATTATGATTATTTATTGAATGAAATAGCATCTTATATTATATATATCTTATATATTATATTATATTATATTATCTTGAGCATGATTTTCAAAACTGGATCGGACCAGATGATCGGATCGAAAAACCGGGAACCGATCAGGTGAGCGGTTTTGTTCTGCCCCAGAACCGTTATTGTCCCCAAACCATTGATTTGGTCAGCAAACCGTTGACTCGGGCAGTCAAACCCTTTGAACCGTTCAACGGTTTGGATAATTTTATTTTTTTTTGTCAGAATGGGTCATCCGTTCGGTTCGAACTGTCAGACCATTCAAGCAACCTTTTCTTCATGAATGACACGTGGATAAATAAAGTAACTTCCTTGTATCTCTCATCCTTCCCATTTTCGCTCAATCTCGGCTTTCTTTCTTGTATCTATCATCTTTCCCCATTTACACTCAGGCTCAGTTTTACTCTCACTTTTCGAATTAGTGGCTTTTCGATGGCAATAGATTTCCCTCCTCACCGTCTCTCACCTTTCTCAAATAATTTTCCTCCCAAGCTCTCCAAATTGGTAGTCTACATAAAAAGAAAAAATGAGATATTTATTGCATGTGCACATGTAAAGGAAATCAACCCCCTGTTGTCCTAAGTTCAGCTTCAGTCACCATTCGGGCAGCCTTTTTCTTCATGAATGACACGTGGATAAATAAACTAACTTTCTTGTATCTCTCATCCTTCCCGTTTACACTCAAGCTTGGCTTTCTTTCTTGTATCTATCAGCTTTCCCCATTTACACTCAAACTTAGTTTTACTCTCAATTTTTTAACCAGTGGCTTTTCGATGGCAGTAGATTTCCCTCCTCTCCATCTCTCACCTTTCTCAAATAATTTTCCTCTCATGCTCTCCAAATTGGCTGTGTAGACCCACATGCTCGTGCTTTATTTATGCAATGAAAATGTTCATTGCATGTCACAATACATGTCTATACTTCTTGTCTGCTTCCTCACTCCAAGCTCTTCCATCTCTTTCCTTCTAATCATATAAACCTTCACGATTTTGCCTTTCACTCTTGTCTTTCACGCATGTTTCTCTTCCACTCCCAATGTCATCTTCCATCTGCAAAAACAACACCGTTGAGAGCTTCCATAAAATGTTTTCTTATCTTTCTTTCCCTCTATCTCTCTCCATCAAGACAGCATGCCAAGAGCTTTCTTCAGGTTTGATTTGCAAGGGTTCGGAGCACAGGTATGCATCTATTTCTTTCTTATTTCTTTTTCTTCTTCTACCCTATGGCAGAAATGGAGTATCTACCCATCTTCTTCTTCTTTACTAAGCTGAAATCTCCTTCTTTTTAACTGTTAAAAACTCCCCCAACTTGAACAACTTAGTGGATGCTCGCCGTCCAAGTTCCAAAATGAGGAAGATGCAACTAAGTAACTAGGAGACTTGTTCAAGCAGAGAACAAGATGACATATTGTTGGTTCTAGATATTGTTTGGTTTGAATCAATTATTGAGAAACTTAACTTCAAAAAAGAGGAATATAGAATGCCGGTCACATCTAGAACTGAATTTAACTCATTTAGGAGTTAGGACCACATATTTTTTGAAGTGGTCCGGGGTCTTTTTATAGCCGCAGGTTCAGGTGCTATTGGGTAACATCTCTAAGCCTTGTACGGAGTTGTTTCCTAAATTCTGGGGTGTACTAGTCAGTTGATTGCTAGATCCATATGGTGGTTACAGGTCACCTATTGGTCTTGAGGCGGTCAACTCGATGGACTACTCTCTATGTTGTGGTTACAGCGCTTACGCGGGCGTTGCCTTTGGGACTGTTTTGGGCGAGCTAGGGTTGTTGACGGATTGATCTCATCCTAGCTCGGCCGTGTACTAGATATTAAC